ATATATATATATATGCATATATACTTTTTATATATATATATATATATATATATATATATACTATATATATATATATATATATATATATATATATATATATATATATATACATATATATATATAAATATCCAATTCACTGGCACATAACCCCCATTCTCTACCAACAAACCCGTATGCTGCAGAAGGATGAACCTATGCATACAGAGCGGGGGCAGTCACACAACATATACCCTCCCGATATGAAACATATAAGCCATTTCTCAGTGCCCCCAGTACTTCTACACACACATCAGTGCATATTCTGAACACGGACTTTCTCGTCCCTGTCACTCAACATACTTCCGACTGTTTTCCTTCTCTTCTAACAGGGCTGTTGCTTCAGCCGATGACAGCTTCTGTGAAGTTGACTGGGATTTGCTCGGCGTCTTGACAAACGCAGTGGTGTCGAGCGTGGCCTCAGACTGGTCTGATAGCGCCGGGTCAAAACTCACCCCAGAAAACCCGCGCTTATCCGACACTTTGGATCTCAGCGGCTCTTGCACAGTGTTTGCTGGGTGGACAAGAAAGGAAAACGACAACTGCATTGAATTACAAGCCACCCATAGCTGAAGGGCTTTTTAGTCTCCCAGGCCGTCTGTATAGGGATTAAAAGAGAGCGGGAATAGTGCCAAGCCTTGCAAGATAACCGTATTTGTAGGCGTTATTGCGTGCAGCGTGTTGCGCATGGGGGATACTGAGCATGAGGCGCGAGTTCAGCGACCACTACCTACACAACAGCCGCGTCTGTGGGATGGGGTTGGCCTGGTCATGTGCTTTAGGGGCCGATCCACCGAATACTCAATCTAGGAACACTACCGCCGATTCCGACACAGTGAAGTACAAAGAGACCTCGTTTATGTTTGTTGGAACGCCCATGAACTGTAACCATAAATACCGCTAATACGTATATCAACACTACCTACCGGATATAGGCGTTGGTTGTGGTATACTCTGAGGGGCTGGGGCCAGGTCACCTGACTGGCCAACGAGCGTGCTCCTCGTATACGTATCCAGAAACGATCTACAGTAGAAATGAACGGGTACTCGAAGATAAGCTTAGAAATGTTATTAGTAGAAATGGCGGGATTGATTACATAGTTGCAGCCAAACTCATGATATACGGGTCCATATTAAAGGGAATTCATAGACAGGTATATGTCAATACTGTGTTTGTGTAGTGCTTTAGACTGTGCTTTCATGACTTAACATGTGCCACACATGCCGCTAATACTCAACCCTACTATGTATTCGAGTAAGCAGCTGATGATAAAAATTGATCATTATGTGCATATATATGAATACAATTGATCAAGAATGCATATAGTTTGATATCTCTATTTGCATTTATATATA